ATTTAGGGGCTGAGAAGGTGGGAGCTTGATTGGTTGGGTGGCCCCTGAGGCTTTGTGGAGAGTCTGGTGCAGAGGGGCACAGGGGCGCAGGGTGGGTTTGGAGAGCAGAGGGGTCCAGGGAGGTGGCGGGTGCATGGGGGTGCAGAGGGGCACGGGGGTGCTGGGTGGGTTTGGGGTGCAGAGGGACACAGGATGGTGCTAGGTGCATAGCGGGGTGCTGAATGGGTTTGGGGTGCAGAGGTTTCCTGGGAGGCGGGGGGTGCAGAGGGTGCATAGGGGCGCTGGGGGTTGCTGGATGTGTTTGGGGTGCAGAGGGACACAGGATGGTGTTGGGCGCATGGGGGGTGCTGAATGGGTTTGGAGTGCAGAGGTGTCCAGGGGGAGGGGGCGTGCATGGGGGGGTGCTGGTTGGGTTTGGGGTGCAGCGGGGCACAGGGGTGGTGGGTGCACAGGGGCGCAGGGCAGTGCTGGGTGGGTCATGGAGTGCGGAGGGGCACAGGCTGGAGGTGGATACTGGGGTGCAGAGGACTGTGGGGGTGCAGCGCAGCCATGGGTCAGTGGATGGGGGTGCAGGGTGCTTCGCAGGGTGCAGTGAAGGCCTAGTGGGGGCGCAGGGTTGTGCCGTGGGGAGCTGGGCTGTGTGTGCAAGGGAAGACGGGCGTAGGGGGCAGGTGACAAGGCAGTGGGTCATGGGCAAGTGGGACTTGGAAGGGACTCGGTGTGGGGGCAGTGGATGTGGAGCAGGGGGCAGGGATGGCCACCCACCGCAGGTGCGGGTTGCCCAGGGTGCTGGTCCCGGTGGGATGCTGGATGCCGGGGTGTGCAGCTGCCATGGGGCAGGGAGGTCTTGGGCTGTGCTGCGGTGCTAGGAGGTGGCATTTGAGGTGGGAAAACTGGGTGATGGTGCCACATGGCTGCAGAGCCTGGAAGGGGCCTGGATGGTCCCAGGGGTGAGAGGGTGCAGGTGGAGATGGGACCGTATTTGGTTCTGGTGACCAAGAGCTGTGCTCGTGCCCAAGGACTCCGTGCGGATGGAGCTATATTGAAGGCAGAAGTCTTGACCAGTTCAGGTGCCAGACTGGTGCCCTCTTGGCAGCTCGGCTGTCGCTATAGGAGGTGTCTACCAGCAAAAGAGACAGGCTGAGAGTTTCTGGGATTGGGACAGCAGTGATGGTGGAGGGTGTCAGAGGCAGGGAGACCACAGCTGGCGTGCAGAGTATCTCAGGACCTCCTTCCTTCCACCTTCCTTTGGCTTTGCTGGACGTGGGGCTAGGGGAGAGCTTCCTTCCTTCTCAGGATCCTGGGCTGGCTGAGCTCCCTTGCACTGCTGGAAGGGCTGCTCTTTGCAGGCTCCCCGGCGTGTGGGCGACACCCACGTGCATGTGCGTTGCTGCCTCTTTGCCGTGGCAGCTCCCACACCCGCTCCCTGGCTCCTGCCTCGGAGCTGCGTCCCCTGGCTGCATCACGTGGAAGTGGCTGACGGGCCCTGGAGCCAACGCAGCGTGTGGGAAGAAGGCTGAGATTCCTGTGTGTGAAAAGTCGTGCCTGCCGGCAGCCTGGGCTTTCCTGTGGCCTGCTTCCAGCCAGGAGAGCCCCTTCTGACCACCTGTTGGAGCAATCGTCTCTGCCCTCAGTGGGGCCGGACAGGATTCCCCGGGGGGGTCCAGCAGCACTGCTCTAAGTCCAGGCATATGGATCTCTACAGAGGAATGCAATGGGCTGGTTTCCCCCGGGTGTTAAGCCCATAACCCATGAGGCATTCCCAGCCGTAGGAAGACTGAAGTCAAGTTCCCACGCAGAGCCCAAGCGGCTGGGCCGGATTCTTTGTCACCCGTCTCAAGATCCTGCGTTAGGAGCTGGTGTGCTGCTGGCAGTTTGCTCCACAAGCTTCTGGGGGGGTTTGAAACAGTCACGCCAGTATGATGCTGCTTTGCTGCCGACCTGTGGTAACGTGCTCCCAGCTGCCATCCCTGACCGTGTCCTGCTCTGTCCCCCTTCCAGATCGATGACATCGCAGATGGTGCCGTGAAACCCCCACCGAACAAGTACCCCATCTTCTTCTTCGGCACTCACGAGACGTAAGCTGCACCCCCACCTGCGCTTCCTTTGCTCTTGCCTGCTTCCCCTGGGCTGGGGCCTCACCTCTGCTTTGTTTCCCCAGAGCCTTCTTGGGCCCTAAGGACCTGTTCCTATACGAGAAGTGCAAGGACAAATACGGGAAGCCGAACAAGCGGAAAGGCTTCAATGAAGGCCTGTGGGAAATCCAGAACAACCCTCATGCCAGCTACAGCGCCCCTCCGGTGAGTGCGTCCGGGGTCGCCCTGAGCACGGGTGTCCTGCCTGTCTCCCACATCGCCTTGCCGCCTCCTGCTCCTGACCAGAGTTTCTAGGGGTTGCCAGGTCAAAGTCTCCCTTTTCAGGAACTGCATAACTTGTCTTTATCAAATCTCTGACTTTCTTCCTCACTGGGGTCCCAGGGAAGCAGGCATCGTTCTCCCTGGTTTACAGATGGGATCCACAGAGTAAGTGACTCATCCAAAGCTGCAGAGAACACGTTTGTCAGAGCAAGCATCAGAACTAGTGCTTCTGGCTCCCCTCCCTGTGCCGAGACTGCTCACTGGTCCCACTGTTTCCCTCAGCAGAGGGGCCCTGACCCGATGGCCAGGACCAACGTTGCCAGTCTGGTTTCCCATTGATTTCCGTGGGCTTTGGGTCAAACCAAGAGGTGGCCCTTTGTGGTTGAGGTCGGAGTGCCTAAGGGATGCTTTGTAACAAAAGTTATGTGATGCAGTTTAGATCGTGGGGTCTTCAAGGAAGGCTTCCACAGCAGCTTTGCAGTTTGTGGCACTGGAGAGAGGCAGAAGGGGTTTCAAGGTGAGCTGCGAAGGGCAGATGGCAGGTATGTAGGGAAGGCCAGGTGAACGAGCGTGATGCAGCACAAGGTGGTGACTTGAATGAAAGAGGACTCTACTGGGAGCTGTCTTTGGTCCTAGATGGGTCCCTTAATGCTGTGCATGTGGGGAAAGGCTGCAGAGGGGATTTTGGGGGACATGGACATTGGCTGAAGGGACAGAGAAGCTCCCTTTATGAGGTCTGTGTGATGTTATTGCACTTGAGGGTTCTAGCGCTCTGTGAGGAGGGGGGAGCATTTCCCTAGCCTTCCAGTGGGAGCTGTTTCAGGGGTCCTCTCTCTGATATCCCTGTCTGGGGATGTCCTGCTCTCTGTCTTCTCTATGCTTATCCCCTGCTCTCTTTGCCCTGACGGGTGTTACTACATATTGAGCAGTAACCTCCAACCACCCATCTCTCTGCCTCTGCAGCCGGCAAGCTCCTCAGACAGCGAGGTTGGCGACATCGACCCGGTAGCAGGCAGTGATGCAGGAGAGGATGAAGAGTCTGCGGTCGCTGCCATCCCTGCAGCAGCCACCGAGAAGATGGAAAGCGACGAGGAGTCTGACAAGGGGAGTGATCACAGCGGGCTGAAGCGGAAGTCACTGGCTATGAAGGTACGCAGGCACTGGCTAGGCGAGACCAGGAAGATTGTTATAATTTGTGTGTGATGTATTGTAGCTGCAACATAAGACAGTTAATTTACATGCTACTTAACTGCAGCTGCTTCTGGGCTGGAGTTTAGCTGCTGTCCTGTGCCAGCCGCACTGTGCAGCAGGGGGATTTTTAGGTGGGGATGTGAGAGCAAGTTTCCTCCTTCACAGGAGATGAGGTTGGGAGAATGGAACCATCCCAGTGCAGAACCTCATCGTTAACCCATGGGTTCTTGTAGTTGCCTCTACCTACACACGTGTACTGGGGTAGATCGAGATCTCTTTTCATGGTGTGTAGGCCGACCGTGGGCTCAGGCCGGAGCTGTGAGTTTCTGACTAACCCTTGGGTGCTGCTCCAAGTTTAACAGAAAATAGTAAGACACGAGGAAGGCTTGGCTGCTTCCCTGTGGGTTGCTTCACCATGTGCGGAGAGAATGGATGAGAAGAACAGGCAAGCTTGCAGCTGCCCTCACAGTGATGTCTGGCTTTAGGTGCCGGTGGCTAAACGACCCCGGAAATCCTCCAGTGACCTTGACCAAGGCAGCGTGTCCCCGTCAGAAGAAGAGAACTCAGAAAGCTCTTCGGAGTCGGAGAAAAACAGCGACCAGGTGAGCGTGATTCCCCCCACACACCACAATATAGGGATGGGGCAGGCAGGCTCTGCTGGACTCACCAGAGACTGGGAGAAGGCAGTAAGGGAACAAGGTGGCTAAGCCCTCTTCCTGCTAGCAGCAGTAGCACTTAAATTCTTCCTAGGCCTCCGGTTGCTAAAGGGAAATGCTCGCAGAGGCATGAGCAGGCCTAGGCCTATAGCTCAGCCTCACTTGGTCCCATCCTTCCCAAGGCACTGGAGATGAGACACTGCCATCTCCTCTGAGAAGCACTTGATGTTGGCGGCTCCCCTGTGCCTTGTTGATCTGCTCCCAGGCCTGAGTGCTGGCCACAGTGTGGCTAGTGGTCCTGGGGCAGGTGCTTTGTGGGTACAGCGGGCAGTATAGTCCAAGATGCTAAAATCCCAGGGATGCTTATGCCTTGGGGCAGTGGCCAAGACATGGAGTCTAGATCCAAGGATTATCAGAGGAAAAGTCCTCTCTGTTAGAACTGGGGCTGCTTCTCACTCACCTGGTGCCAGTTACTGTGTCTTTTGGGTTTCTTTCCTTCTCTGCATCGGGTCTGGGCCTGGGGATTGATGCCAAGAGTTGGGGGGCAAGGAGAGATGCCTGGCTCTGAAACCAAAGTGGATGTTTCCCCATCTCAGATGTGCGTATGTCCCTTCCCAGGACTTCACTCCCGAGAAGAAGCCGGTAGCCAGGGCTCCCAGGAGGATGCCTGCAGGCGGGAGAAAGAGAAAGGTAAGAGCGGCCGGTCCTGTCCTGTTTCTGTTCCCTTCTCTCCAACCTGCTGCAGGACAGCAGGGTAGCTGGGGGCAGCACCTGATGTGGCCTGTGGTGAGTGCAGGGGGAGGCTGTAGACAGTCACCAGGCCCATTGTCTGGCTGGATGTTGGTGAGGAAAAACTGAGGAACTGAGCATCTGGTTCTGTGTTGCTGGCAGTGTGGGACATGAGCATTGTGTGACTGGGGCGTGACTGGCTCCCAGCATGTAGCCCCGGGTTGAGGGGAGCACAAGAAGACTTGTCTTGGGCTTTGAAGGCCAGTGGGATTCCCTGGGTGCAGCTAGTCTGACCTCCCACACTTCAGGGGACTGGGCGATCATGAGCCCCTGGACTGCTGCCTGCCTTCCTGGTGACACCAGCTCACTCTGGACACCACCCCCATCCATAGGGTCTGGAGATTGCTTCCTCTGTTGTCCCACCTGGGATGGGAACTCTGTGATGTGGCGTCTGCAATGCAGGGGCTGGACCTGAGGCCTCTGCTGGTCCCTGCTCCCCTCCCCGCTCAGCACTCCGTTCTCTTCCCTACTCACAGAAGGTGGATTCGGGCTCTGACTCTGACTCCAAAGCGGACTCGGAGGAGGAGATGGAGAACGCCGCAGTGGATGTGGCCAAGTCAGACTCGGACTCAGACTCAGATTCAGACATGTCTGTGAAGAAGGCTCCTCGGGGTCGGAAGCCAGGTAGGGTCTGAAGGGTGCTATGGCTTATTGTCAGATTGCAGATATCCCACAGGCTTTCCCAGGAATCTGTGCTGGAGGGGAGCTCTCTGCTAAGCTCCTGAATGTGTTTATGTGGGGGCCTTGATTGGCCCATACCTGAGTCTGTGGACTGAAGTCCGGGCCTTGGACTGGGTGACTCTCCCTTGAAGAGCCCCTGGCCAGCCGCCTGTTGAAGGGGTGGGTCTTCTGCTTTGCTGAACCCCTGACTGCTTGTGTCTTGCAGCCGAGAAGCCACCCCCAAAGCCCCGGGGCAGAAAACCAAAGCCTGAGAGAGTGCCCACCAGCTCCAGCAGTGACAGGTGAGGGCGAGTCCCGGGGAGGCTGGGCTGCCACAGGCTCAAATCCCTCACTCAAGCTTTGCATCCCCTCCTGGCAGGAGCTAGCCCCACCCTGCCATCAGTACCTGCTGGGTTTTCCAGGTGACTGGATGGGGGTAGGTGGGAAGTTTTCTGCAAGGGCCACGGGTCCTGACCAGAGGAGCAGCACGTGGCAGAGGCTTGGCTCAGAGCATCTGGGTAGCAACGTACCTGTGAGTCTAATCCCTGGCTCTGTCCACACTCGGTGAACCAAGTTGCCTTGTCTGCCCTTGCCCCAGTCTTTTTCCCTCCTGCGAAGACAGGCCTGGCCCTTGTGGTGTAATGAGTTCATTAATGCCCTAGAGGCACTTTCGACTTTCAAGACGGTGGCTCTTTGGGACAGAGGCTGTGCTGAACTACATGTTTATACAGTGCCAGGTCTGACCTGACTGAGGCCTCTAGTGCTGCCCCAGCATAAACGTTAAACAATGGAGCCATGTGCATCCCCCTGCAGCTGGCATGGAAGGGTGGTGCCCTCTGCTCCCCAGAGCAGGAACCTTGTGCATGGAGCCCTCCTGGCTGTGGCCTTGCCTCTGCCCTTGAAAATGGTGTCCAAATTGCTCTGTTGGCAGAGCTGTGCTGGCCAGCCCTCCAGGGGATTGTAGCCCCTGCCCCTTCCCCAGGTGCAATGATCTCTGCTACCTGTGCTCAAACCAGTACCTTTGGGGCTGCGCCTCAGCAGCTCCTGCTATGGGACCCACCTCTCCATTTGCACTGCAGTAGTGCTGGTGGCTCCTAGCAGTGCCGTGGCTGATGGTAAGGGACTTTGCATAAGGCGGGGTTCAGACAGCCCTGGGGAGCAGAATGGCAAGGGGTACAGCTGGGTGACAGGACACCTGCTCCATTGGGAGATGAGCCCGGGGATCCCTGCAGACCCAGCCTGAACAGGACGTGGATGTTTGCTGACTCCCAAGCAGGTGGGGCTGGGGCTTCTTCACAGGGCTGGGGACTTCATCCCAGTCATGTTAGCACCTAGACAGGGGAACAGGGGACTGTTGGCCATGCAGATTGGATGTCTACAACAGTGGTTCCTTCGGCAAGTGGTGAGAGGTGCTGACTGGGGGCTATTCTTGTGGGTAACCAGAGGCCTTGGGTCTCTGGGGATATCAGTCCAGAGTCTCTTCTTGCTTTGATTCCCTCCAAAAAGGGAAGTGCCCAGCAAGGGAGCAGGGAGGGTGACCAACCTGAGCCACTTGGCATTCTCAGGGCTGTTCAGGGCCTGTCCAGTACCCAGTTCAAGCATCAGTCTGATCCCCAGGCAGTGGGAGGGATGGCATGAGGCTCTGGAGAAGCAAGGCTGCAAGTGGGAGCGGAGCAGGGCTGTCGGCAGGGCCCATCCTGCCCTGACCTGCCTGGCTGTGCCCCCAGTGACAGCGACAGTGATGTGGACCGCATCAGCGAGTGGAAGCGGCGGGACGAGGAGCGCCGGCGGGAACTGGAGGAGAAGAGGAAGAGGGAGCAGGAAGAGGAGCTGCGTCGGCTGCGCGAGCAAGAGAAGGAGGAGAAGGAAAAGCGGAAGGAGAAAGCGGAGAAGGCGGATGAGGCACGCTCAGACAGCGACAGCAACCTCGACGGTGATGTGGCCAAAAGGGGCCGCAAGGGCCGAGCCAAAGCCCCGTCATCCTCTGACTCGGATGCTGAGCTGGAGAAGGAGGTGAGTGTGTGGGCACCTCGGGGAGCTCGTATGGGTGCGGCCTCTGCATGCTGTTCCCAGCCAGAGGGGGCAGCAGGGTGGGGTGGGATGGGACGTGTCTCTCGCAGACCCTCTCCACAGCCCGGCACTCTGGGACTGTTCCCCATACCCCCGGGTGCAGCTCTTCTTGCTCAGGACTGGAGCAGCTGGGTGTCAAGGAAGCTTCCCCTGCCATGGGCTGTGTGAACCCTGGCCCTGCTCTCCAGCACTGGCGGGGGTGTTCCTGCCACCTGTAGCCCCCTGGAGTTGCACTGTGCTCACAGCAAAAGACTCATGTTGGCTGTGTGCTCTGGTCTGCCTGGCACACTTTCCCCCAGGGGCTCAGCCCTGGCACAGCTGCCAGCGCAGCGACACCTGGGCAGAACGGTGCCATCTGGCCATGGCTTTGGTGACCCGCTCAGTCACAGCAGGCAACACACTGAACTTAGGCATTGGCTCCTCCTGTCTGGGTGTCCCTTGGGGTTGTTCTGTGAGCTGTTCAGCCAGCCCCAAATCCTGACCCAGTTCCAGCTTGGGCACTAATGCGGCCCTGCAGCACCTCCCTGCCAGCTTCAGCTGGGGTTTGGATTTAGATTTCCTTAACTGCTGGCTAGCATGGCTGTGAACTGATAGCCAACCCCACCCTCTGCCCCTCCCTGGTGCCCTCCGCCCTGCCTATATCAGGAATACAGTGCTTGACCAGCCGTGGAGAGTGCGGAGCTTTCATCCAGCAAGTGCCAGGCACTGCAGTAAAACCATCTCTGTCCTCCATGCTGCTCCTTCCAGTGTCAGAGAAGCCAAGAGAGCAGTGCTGTCCAGTGATTCCATTCCTGGCTTTGCCACTGGTGCTGCCTGAGCTTGGGAGTTGCAGCACTGCCCTGTACCTCGGTTTCCCCATCCATACACAGTCACTATGAGGTTCAGTGTGAGGGAGGAGCCTGCTTGGGGCAGGAAAGTGGAGTGGTGCCAGGAGGCACAGAGGTGACAGCAGAGGCTGCGTGGGAGCCCCATACCTGGAGGCACATCTCCTCCAGCACGTGGGTGTGGGGGGAGGGAGCGCGAGCCACATCGCAGAAGGCCACATATCCAGTTGGTGGCTCAGGGCCGGGGCTGTCCCAGGTGCATGTACAGTACCAGGTGATGCCCCCATCCCCTCTCCACAAGGCGCTGGAGCAGCCCCCTCCCCCTGCAGGGGTGTGGGGGGAGATCAGGGCTCGCTCATTCTCTGCATTGTTCTCTCCTCCAAGGTAAAGAAGCCTGGGAAGAAGCTGCAGCCCTCTGAGTTGTCAAGGAAACCGAATCAAAAGGAGAAGAGGGGCCGGGAGGAGAAGCCTCGCAACAAGTCAGCTTCCGCCTTCCCCCTCCCCTCTCCCCTTGGTCCCTTCCCTAGGGGCTGGTGGGGAGGGGTGGGGTCTCTTCTAGGGGTGGTGGGTGGAGGTTTCCCTTCAAGGGAGCTCCCTGCAGAGCTGCAGTGTGTCTGTGATGGGGCGGAAGCAGCCTCAGAGGAGGGGGCACATGGAGATGCCGGGGTTGGGAGTGGGAGGAGGTCTCTAAAGCCACTTGACTGTGAAGCCCTCTCGCCTGGGGGTCTGAGCAGCCTCAGGCCTGCTGTTACTGCAGGGCTGCTCCTCTGAGAGGAGGGAGCCTCTAGTCGGGCCCTAGAGAATCACTTTGTACTGGGGGGTGGGGGTGGGTGTTGAAAGTCCTGGGTCTGAGGTGATTGTGGCCTGGGGCTGGAAGTTGGGACTCCAGGGTTCCTTCGTCTCTGCTGGGGGTCTTCGTGCCAGCCCCGCAGACCGGTACTCAGCACCCATCTGGCGTTGTGCATTCGCTGCGGAGCCCGATTCCTCATCGGCTCTGGGCAGCCCCTGGCTTCGGCAGGAGCAAAGGGCTTGAGGCCTCTGCAGATGTGCTGGGCTGTCCTCTGTCCACATCAAGTCGTGGGCCCGAGCTCTGGGGTCCTGCCTGTGCAGTGCCCCGAGTTCCACTCCCCTGCCCTTGAGTGCGATGGGCTGGGGTGGGGGCAGTGCCCAAGCACTGAGCGGCGGCCTGGTTTCGTGCTCACATTTCCCTTATAGCCCACACCCCCATCACCCTGCCCCGCAGGCCAGGTTACCCCTGGACAAGCTATGTGGGTGTAGCTGGCCAGGGGGAGGATTGTGAGGGTCTTGTCATCTTGCCCTGTCAGGTGAGGCATGGGAGGGTGGGGGGTTCCCAGGATTCAGACAGTCCAATACACAGCCTTGTCCTCTGGCTTCCTTTTCCTACCACAGACCCTTGAAAGTGGAACGAGGCCGGAAAAAGTCTGACACAATCCACGAGAGAAGGATGGAGAAGAAAAAGGGTGAGAGCGGCGCTCTGCTGGGCTGGGAGGGAAAGGGTCTGGGTGGGAGAGGGCAGGGGGGGTATGCTTTTCTGGGCAGGGCAGGTTGCCACAACATGGGGGTTTAGGGGCGTCGTTCTGAAAGCATCTGGTGTGAAGCCCTGACTGGAACCTGTGGGATGTTGCTGATGGGCTGCCAGGGCAGGGGGCTGCTTTGAGGTGTAACAGAGTGAGGGCTCCTCTGCTCTGAGTGCATTCCCGTAGCAGGCTCTGGGGGGGTGGCCCTCTGCTGCGAGCCCAGCCCGGTCACAGGCCCGAGACCCAGAACATCCACGTGCTGTCCTGCTGGAGGCATACCCCTCACGCTAGCAAGCAGGGTCAGTCTGTAGGAGGCTGATCTGTGCTGCCTCTGTCTCAGAGCCCACAATCGAAGAGAAACTCCAGAAGCTTCACAGCGAGATCAAGTTTGCCCTGAAAGTCGATAACCCGGTGAGTACTGGCACGGTGGGGGGTGGAATCCAGGGAGCCTTGGGGTCTGGCTCTTCTGCCCCATGCAGGCATCCCAAACTAGCCTGTGCGCATGTGTGCAATGCTCCCTGCCCCCACACTTGCTCACAATGCTGGTAGCACTTTGTCCTCACCGTGCACAACCCTGCAGGGCTGTGCAAGGCAGCATGAGCACCCCCCTCCTGCTGTCACCAGTCATCTGCCCTCTTTCCCTGCCTGCTAGACTGTGTATAGCAGCCCCCTTGGCTGAAGCCTTGCAAGCGTGTGCCCCCTCTCATGGCTCTGGCATGCTTGCTGAAGGCTGGCACTCCCTGCTCTTCCCCTGTCCACTCAGACACCCTCCGAGCTGGTGCCAGGGCCTGCCAGTTATTTCAAAAGCTGTGTTGTGCTAGAGTTCAGCATCGTGTCCTGTTCTCGTGGGCTGCCCAGCAACGGATTGATGCCTCTGGAGGAGCAGTGCTCAGCTTGGCCCCTAGATGGTGCCACCATTTCTCCTTGGGCTTCCCCAAGATGTGCCACCAGTCTGGCTCCTGGCCTGACTGGGTGCTTACCAGATGTGGGTGAACCTGGCACCCTCAAGGGGAGGCCCAGGAGAAGGCCAGAGCCAGTCCCAGCTGCTTGCAATCTTGGGTGCTGCAGGCTTTGTCTGTGTCTGCTCCTCGGCTGTACCCCGGGGATGGGGAGCGTTACCTTTTATAGGAGCAGAGAAATGTGAAGCTGGAAGGGACCTTGAGGCCACCTGGTGCAGGCCCCAGAGCTGAGGCAGGATCCAGTGGCAGGTGCTCCCTAACAACATAGGGCAGCAAGGGACCTCAAAGGACCAGTTAGCCCACCACTGCTCCAGCCAAGGTCCCCCCCGTCTCAGGTGCTTGGGCAACCTGCAAGTAGATGACAAGGATTCCCCTGCCCCGATTGGGAAGCTGATCTGGTGCTGAATCCCCCTCGTGGTTAGAAAGTCCTTCCTGCCACCTAACCCGCATCTCCCTTGTTGCAGTCTCAGCCCACTCCTGCGTGTCCTGGCCTGCGTGGGCACAGGGAATGGTTGCTCACTGTGTGTAATTAAAGCGTGGAACTCATTGCCGCCCAGTGTAGTAGAAGCCGACAATTTAGCCAGTTTCACAGAGGGTGGAGGACATACTTGGAGGAAAGGGGCCTCAGGAGCTATTGAGCACAGGAGTAAGGGGCACAGCTTCTGAATCAGAACTTCCTAGACCTTAAATGCTGGAGGCTGCAAGTGTGAGAGGAGCAGGGGAAAACCCCTGGTCAGACCCAGTTCACTCCCTTTCAGCATCCGCTGTCTGCCACTGTGTGACACAGGAGATGACTAGAGGGACCTAGGGTCTGACCCAGTAAATGTCAGTTCATATTTTCTCTCTGTATCAGTGCTTTCTGTCCTGGATGGGCAGTATCAAATCCCTCTCTGTATCAAATCTCTGGACCATATAACCCATTCTTCCCCATTTACCCTGGCTTTTTGCAAACCTCCAGCCAGGCAGCCACAGCTGGGTCCTGTGTCACAGTGCTTCCCCTACCTTTTAGTGAGCAGGCTTTGCCATGCTGTATACTGAGTCCAGAGAGGGATGAAGCAAACCTCTCTAGCTTCCTGAGCTCTCTGACCTCACTTCTTTGCCTACAGGACATCAAGAGATGCCTGAGTGCACTGGAAGAGCTGGGAACACTGCAGGTCACCTCTCAGATCCTCCAGAAACACACTGATGTGGTGGCTACGTTGAAAAAGGTGCCATGGAGAGGGGATGTGGGTGGGAGGGGAGGGGAGGGGTGTGTACACACATCTCACTCTTGGGCAAGGGCCACCTTGTTCCCAAGCTGCTGTCTGACGCTCCCTGTGCCTGTGGCAGATCCGCCGCTACAAGGCGAACAAGGATGTAATGGAGAAGGCCGCTGAGGTTTACACCCGCTTGAAGTCACGTGTCCTGGGACCAAAGCTGGAGGCCATCCAGAAAGCCAACAAAGCCGGGTTGGAGAAGGACAAGGGGGATGCAGAGAAGGGCCAGGAGAAGCTGGCAGGAGGCGAGACACGGAATGAGAAAGGAGAGGAGGAGACGAATGCTGGTAACGTGGGTGCAGGCTCTTAGGAGGGGCCTGTTGCTTTCCTGGTGCCCTTCACAGGGCTGATTCTCGCTCCCTGTGGCAGCCCTTGTGGAGGGCCTGCCTGGTGGCTCCTGGAGCTGGTGGGTTGTGGAGGCAGAAGGAGGGGGTCCCAGCATGGGGAGCTAGAGGAGCTGCCTCTGGAGGTGCAAATCTGCAATGGTGGCAGGTGTGCAGGCCCCCAACTTCCTGGGACATCCTTGAACTCCATCTCCTATGCAGGGCAGGTGCCAGGCAGC